TCTGTCAAATGATTTAAATAAGCAGGGAGGGAAAAGAGGAAATTTTTTAAATGTCTACTTTTCATTATGAGAAATTTGGGCATGTGAAAATGATGACAGGGTGACACCTGTAAAGAAGGAGAATTTGTGAATGATGAAGAGACATAATAATTTATAAATAGATCTTAAGGAAGAAGGTTGCAGAGACAGCTGGAAAATTAAAGGTCTGACACCAACTCCATTGTAATTGAAAAAAGAATGGGGTTTGGTTTGGCTGCAGGATGTTGAGGCTTTTCTCTGAAGTTGCCTGTTTTTTTTTTTTTTTTTTTTTTGGAGGGAGGGGGGTGAGGTACCAGGGATTGAACTCAGGGGCATTCGACCACTGAGCCACATTCCCAAGCCCTAATTTGTGTTTTATTTAGAGACAGGGTCTCACTGTGTCACTTAGCTCCGTGCTTTTGTGCTTTTGCTGAGACTGTTTTTTTTTTTTTTTTTGCAATTGGCAGAAGGGGATTTATTGAACCAGCATGCTGGGGCTCCGTGCCCACTCAAGAAAGGAGAGCAGCCCAGAGCCCCAGGCAGGAGTTGAGCAGTGCTTAAGTACAGTTTTTGGGGAGGGCGGGGGCTTTGCATACATCACAGTCTCTTTTAACAAATCACCATACACCGAGGGAAAAATCAAACAATAATTCTTAGACTTGATTAGTACATTCATCGGCGGGAACAGGTTGGGCAGGGGTGATCGGTCACTTCTAAGCAGGGTACACATTCAAACTGATTGGATTTGGGGCCTGGATGCCTACGTGCAGGGCTACTCAGAGCCCTTAGTTATTAAACAGCCAGAGGATCAGGAGGAATATTTAATGGGCAGTTCGGGTATTGTCCTAACAGAGGAATTTAACAACTGAGACTGGTTTTGATCCTCTTGCCTCAGCCTCCTGAGCTGCTGGGAGGTATGCACCACCATGCCAGCTACCTTTATTTTTTCAGTGTGGAGGTCATAAAATTTTCTACTGGCTGTGCACAATAGCACACTCTTGTAATCCCAGCTACTTAGGAGGCTGAGGCAGGAGGATCCCAAGTTCAGGATCAGTCTGGGCAATTTAGCAAGACCCTGTCTCAAAATAAGAAATACAAAAAGCTAGAGGTGTAATTCAGTGATTGAGTGCCCCTGGATTCAATCCCCAGTACCATATTGGGGGGAGGCACTCTGGAGAGTCAGAAATTTGAGAACAGGGGAAAATGGAGAGTCAGCTGATAAATCAGACAAAGGTTTGTTGAGCAGTATCCAACTGCTCATTATAGTGATGCCAGTCTCCTTAATGGTGACTTACTCCGGTAATACCTTACAGGCTAGGAGGAGTGGTGAAGATGGCTAAGCCAAAGTGGGGTATTGCCTGGGTGGATGTAGCAGGGAGATGCAGGATGTGGGCAGGAGACTCAAAGACTGTTTTGAGTGTTGTTATACCTTTTATAAAAACCTATGGACATATTCTAGTTACTATTCATTAGATTTTTTTCATCCCTGGAAGAAAAGTGCCATTTTTTTTCTTACATATGAAGAACACAACTTGGAAATGACCTAGGACCGAATTTTTCAAAGTATGGTTCCTAGGACAGCAACATTAGCATCAACAGGTAAATTAGACACATAGAGTCTCAGCTTCTACTCTAGAACTACTCAGTCAGAAACTCTGGGGGTGGGGCCCCAAATTATGCACTATAATAAGTCTACCAGGTGATTCAGATGTATGCTAACGTTTGAGAACAGTTGGCCTTAAAAAAAAAGCTTGCTGATAGTTACAAGGTTAGATGTTATAGTAATCCCAATGAAAACAAATGTGAGTTGCTGGAACACAGGGAGCTTATCCATCTTCAATAGCATATGCAGCACTCAGAGCAACATCTGGCTTACAGCAAAGATTTCAAAATGTATGTAGAATGAAGGAATTGGTACTGAATGTGGCATAACAGAAGAATGAAGGAGAGTTGGGAGGAGCTTCCTCATAATCTGTAATTGACTTGGCTCTTTAAACTACCTCTACTCTCCCCCATTCAAAAAAAAAAAAGGTAAACCATACCTAAAAAAACAAACAAACAAGCAAACAAAAAAACTAGCCAAGTGGATATTTCCTGCTCTCATTAATGACTTTTGCAATAAAAGTTAGGTTTCAAGGTTTATACACACTTTTTTTTTAATAGTAATGGGGATTTAGCTCAGAGCCATGCTCTATCACTGAGCTACATCCCCAACCCTTTTTATTTTTTATTTTGAGATAGGCTCTCAATAAGTTTTCTAGGCTGACCTTGAACTTGCTATCCTCTCCCCTCAACTTCCAGAGTAGCTGGGATTACAGGTGTGCATCACAGCACCTTGCTACACACATTTTTTTTTAAAAAAATAGTCTGTTTTGTAATAAAACTATTGTAGTAAAATATATTTAGATATGTAAAGACAGTAATAATTAACTGAGAAAGCCCAAGTATTTTTATTTAAGATAAAAACTTTAAAAATAAGTTTTATAATTCTGGTTATAAAAGTAGTACACATTTGGGGGCCAGGGTTGTGGCTCAGAGGTAGAGCACTTGCCTAGCATGCATAAGGCAATGGGTTCATTAAAAAAACAAACATAAAAACACATAAAAAACCAAAAACAAATAAAATAAAGGTATTGTGTTCATCTACAACTAAAACAATAAAATTTTTTAAAAAAAGCTCTATGATGTAGTACACATTAATTTAAAATTTTATGAAATAGAGGACTCTGTAAAGAAAAAAATTCAAGATTAAATACCACATTGAGAGATAGTGTTACATTTTGGTTTAATTTTTTTCATTGTACCTATGGGTCTAGATATTGAATTTTAAAACATAATTAGGATTGTACAAATTTTCACTTTCATCTTTAAGTAATAACTTTTTTTTTCAGTACTGGGCATTGAACCTCAGACCTTTTTGCGTTTTATTTTGAAATAGTGTCTCACTATGTTGGCACTGAACTTTGGTTCTTCTGCCTCAGCCTCCTGAGTTGCTGGGATTGTAGGTATGCACCACCATGCCCAGCTCCAAGTAATAACTTGTTATGAACTTTTATATTGCCTTAGTTCTCTTAAGAACTTCCATTGTGGTGAAGAACAGCTTCGTGTTGGTGATGGTTCCTGAACAGTGGAGCACTTTGGCTTCTTTAAACTACCTCTGCTCTTACACATCGTTGGTACTGAATAAGTCTTCTTAGACTGTGGGTAATAGAAGATTCCACTGCATCCTTTTGCGGGGATTTTCAGTTCACCTGGATCAAAAATAATTTGAGTGAATCAAAAGTAGTGATCTTCCGATTTCAACATGTGTAAGAAACACCTGGGCGTTCTATTAAAAATGAATGTTCCTGGCCCTAATCCAGAAACTCTGATTTGCATGCATCTTCTTACATTTATACCTTGAGTGCTTCTGATGCATGTTTTCTGGGAATCACATTTTAAGAACCTCTGACTTAGTTTCTTGTAATTTTTTTTTTAATATTTATTACTTTTCTTAGTTCTTGGCGGACACAACATCTTTGTTGGTATGTGGTGCTGAGGATCGAACCCCGGCCGCACGCATGCCAGGCGAGCGTGCTACCGCTTGAGCCACATCCCCAGCCCCGGTTTTTGTAATTTTTTCACGAAGGATCTTGTAATTTTCAGTCCACTAGGTTATAAGTTGCCCTCTTCACTTGTAAGGTGGTAAGACTAAGATGGTTAAAATGAATTAAAGTCTGATTATTAGAAATTATTACAAATTTTAAGTTTGCATCATTGCACTACTTGAAACACTTAATCAAAGCCAAGCATTCTGTAATGTTTTCCCTTTCCTTTTAGAAGTAATTCTCTTTTGTTGAAGAATTTCTTCAATGGTGAAAATACGATTTAATTACTTGAGTTTTCTGGTTTTCTCACCTACTTAAATCATTGAGCCGTATAGGATTACAAGAGACGCATGATAAATTATGAAGGAAATAAGAAAAAAAACAATAAGGATCTTTAAAAAATAGTCAAGAGAGCAAGAATATGAAAAATAACGTTTTTCTATAGGTAAACCATAGGAAGGCATAGAATGCCTTTACAGAGATATATTTGTGCTAAATCCCAGGCAGTCATTGACCTGGGCCACATTTTCATATTGAAAGTACAACATGAATGTCAGGAAGTTTGCCCCTAGACACTGATAGAACTATTGATATTCACTGAGGAAGAATTAGGAATGTTTTGAACTGTCAAGGGGGAAATCCTCTGAACCATTTTCTAACACATTCAAGCATTTGCAGTATTAGGTGAAAAATAAAATGTGCACACCAGCATCAAAGGCACTTTTTATCACTATCGTATCATAACTGTGTGTATTACACATAAGCTGATTCTAACAGTGTTCTAGGGCTTTGAACCCATCCTCTTCCTCCATTCTTCTGGTGTTTCCCACCTTAGACGTGGGGTCTCTAACACAGAGGATGGAGCAGTGAATGATGTTAGTTATTTTCTCCTCATTCTTCTGTTTTTTTCAGAGTTGTTTTGTCAGGCTGGTAGATTCTAACTCAGTACTTTTTTTTTTTAAGTCTTTAAACTCAGTAATCTGTTAGCCACTAAGTGATCTTTATTTTCTTGTTGAGAAAATACTTACTGGGCAGGGTATGGTGGGCAACAAAACAAAACTCTGGAAGTCCAACAGACTTCAATTTATATGGGAATTTTGCTGTCTTCTCTACAAAGAAGATTCTCATAGGGATTTAATTATCAAGGAAATGGAGAGAATTGTCCTGTAGAATTCATTTTTTCCTCATGAAAAAATGGTCATCTTGTTTCCACATAGCTTTTTAGACTGAACTCACTGAATTGTATGTCCTAATGTGTTCTGTTTTTCATTTTTTTTCACCCCAGTTTCTATGGAAAAGTTTTTTCCCCCCATTTTTTACAAATTGCTTTTAGAATAACTTTAAATGAGTTAAAACTTAAATTAAACCATAACCTTTGTACTTTTTGGTGTTTAGCTTTTCACAGGTTTTTTCATCTTTCTGCTTCCTTGGGCTCCACCTTCTCTCCGAGAATTTGTCATGCCCATACATGTTTATTTTGGACTTTTCCTCTTTGGAACAACGATTGCGACGGCCCTTATGGGAGTGACAGAGAAACTATTTTTTGTCCTGTAAGTTGTACAGTCTTTCTAATTGTAATACATAAGCTTTAAAAAGTTAAATACTTGTTCACTGGAAATGTAATGTAAATGTAACAGATAAACATAAATATATATACACGCATATATGTGTGTGTGTGTGTGTGTGTGTGTGTGTGTGTGTGTGTGTGTGTAATTCTCTGAACCATTTTCTAACACATTCAGGCATTTAGTATTAGGTAAAAATTAAAATGTGCATATCAGCCTCAAAGGCACTTTTCATCATTATCCTATTATGACTGTGTGTATTACTCATAAGTTGATTAACAGTGTTCTAGGGGGGCTGGGATGTGGCTCAAGCGGTAGCGCGCTCGCCTAGCATGCGTGCGGCCCGGGTTCGATCCTCAGCAGCACCACATACCAACAAAGATGTTGTGTCCGCCGAGAATTAAGAAAAAATAAATAAATGTTAAAATTCTCTCTCTCTCTCTGTCCCCCTCTCTCACT